GTATTCAGTGCAAGTGTGTGTAATTTTAATTTAGCATTTTAACTAGTATAGAAGCATTTATTATATACTAACATTTATAACAATTTTAGCCTGAAGATAGCGTTGACGCCGAAAATTTGCCCTTACTCCTAACTTCCTTGTTTCACTTGTCCTTGTCTCTTCCAACCGGATAATATCCAGATATCAATTTTAAGTTACAGTAATTTAATCTAATTGCAGCGGCACATAACATAATTTAAACTATTGCTATCATTATTGTACTACAGACTGAAAATATCTCAGATCTATTTTGGGCGTTTTTAACAACTTGTAGTTGTAATTCTTAAATATTAGATATCCTAATTTATAACTTTTTAATCAGAGTGAATTAATAATTGATATTTGATAATTTATTTATTTGATAGTTTAGTCTGATATTGATATTAATATTGATTATATTAATATTGTTATTATTGAATGAAGCTAACTCCAGACATAAATAATACTACTTCTATTAACAAAGGGACTTGGAGTATAAACGACCAATTTTGCATAATTGTCTTTCCAACCAAGAATTCAGGAGGCAAGGGTGGGTGCGTAAACTTTATGGTCTGCACTCTCAGTATCTCCTGTATCACCCTGGATTCATTTCGACGTAATTTTGGTAAAAGTATACATATACTTTCTGGTCACTCTCTTGCTACTCCAAGTCCCCTAAGATATATGGTCTAAAGTTTGCACTAGTTATATTTATAAAATATGTTTTTGTCTGCTTTAACTGATACTAAATAAAATTGTTGTTTTCTTGAAATTGTTGTTTTCTTGAAATGGGGTATGTCATCGTCATGTGAATGTTTGCAGTTTTCCAGACATTGATTGGGGTGTCTACTGTCTAATGATCAATTTAATGTCTAGTGGTCAAGTTTGATGTGTCTAGTGGTCAAGTTTATGTTAGTGGTGAACTTTATGTCTAGTAGTCAAATTTTGAGGACGTTTTTGGCTAACAATGTTAGTTGTTACGTCAGCAGACGAGTGGGTTAAGAAATGATTGTGAAAGTGGATTCCTGGGAACAAATTGTTTCCACAGTTCATGCTACCCTGATCATAATGAGCCTAACCCACCAATTAGCAAAGTTTTATTTTTAATAAAATTGATTTAAAACAAAAGAGTTTGCCAAAATTCACGTTACATTTCTGCTGACGTCAGCAAGGCTCAGACCCCCCTCCCCCCTCCCGTCAGCAACCGTCAGCATTTCCAAACCCCCCTACCCCCTCGGCTGCTGACGTCATATGTGAATGCTCCCAAATTGTATTCTTTGGAAGAATTTCAGAGAGTTTGCTTTCAGGATTGAAATAAATTATATTTATAACCTAGATAATACCTTCGGTTCTTCGGGCCGCAAATTCCCTCAAGCAACCTGTCGGGAATTATCACACGGAGCCCAAAGAAGTGAAGGTATTATAGTATTATAATATTATAGCAATATAAATTATAATGTAAAATTACATAAAGTGAAAGGATAAATAAAGCAAGATTTTGGCTTTGTTGTTTAGGGGTCAAAGGATAAAGTCCTTTAATCTTGAAAGTATACCTACAGTACTAATAGGTTTCAAAAAGGGTGCAAAGAGGGAGAATCTGCAATTTTTTTGGACAATTTGCTTATAAAGGAAGGAATTATAGCAATGAAGAATGTAAATTTGGACTACACTTTGTCTTTAGCAGTAAGGCAATTTGGTTAATGCAATGGCGGATTGGCCAAATGAGCCTAAAAATGTTGAACATTCCCGTCCTCTGCACCCCCCCCCCCTCTTCCTACACCCCTGATACTATTAAAATTATGGGGTTTCGCTAACCAAGAAAATACTCAAGGTTATTGTACTCAATCATATAGTATACAACCCAAGTCCCGAATAAATTGTTCAGAGCAATAATAAATGATTTAAATTTAATTCAGGAGAATGGCCCTTCAGGAGGAATCCGAACTGACGCCCTGCCCAAAAACTACGAGATGGACCAAACGAGACTACAAATTTCTTGTACTAGCAATGCTGATCAAGTTTGGGGATGCAGTGGAAATGTATCTGCCTGGTGTGATCACACAAAAAGTATCCTGTGAGCTTGGGGTCTCTAGTTTCCAGGAAGGGACCCTTTCCATCATCTTCTATGTCTTTATGGGTATAGCTATACTAGCTGCTGTTCCGTTGGTGAATAAAATTGGAGAAAAAACCACTTTGCTTTGTTCAATGTACGGCTCCATCTTTTTTACCATATTCTGCTCGTTGGTCCCGAATTATTATACTTTTCTACTTTCTAGAGCTCTCATAGGGCTGGGCTGTGGGTTGAACTTGACAATAATTGGAGTATTCGGTGCTAAAAATATTTCTTCTTACGAGATTCTACCAACATTTTCGTTCATCCATGAATGTATTGCATTTACTTTCGGATGCGCATGGGCTCCGCTGCTGGGTTGGCTTCTTCTTGATACACTAGGCTGGCGGGTGTTTGTCCTCTTAACATCCA